GCGTGTGCGTCGTCGCCGCTTTCGCCTTGCTGTTTCTCCGCAGCAGCTTGACGTTCGTGGCGCCCAGCACCGCAGGACGCCGCAGGCCTTCGAACACGGCGGCCAAGTACACCACGCAGACCATCTTGCCCGCCCTCGCGTGGATCAAGACCGGCTTCAGAGAGAGCGACCTCGCCCCGACCGAGCTGAGGGCGATCAATTTGGGCGGCGTCGACGTGCTGGTAGGCAAGACGGAGGGTGGCAAGCTCTTCTGCGTGGGCAATTTGTGCCCTCACCTCGGCACTCCGATGAGCGAGGGCGCCGACGTCATCGGCGACACGATCGTGTGCCCGCTGCACGGCTCGTCGTGGAAGGTCGGCGACGGTGAGCTCATCGACTGGTGCCCGAGCCCGCCTATCATCGGCCCCCTCACTGGCCTCGTGATCGAGAAGAAGAAGCTCGCGATTTTCGAGGCGCGATCGGGCTTCTTCGGCGGCGACATCGAGGTGCAGGTGGACACTAACGCGAAGAAGGCGTACGAGGCGGACTACTGGAAGGGGATCCTCGACGCCCAGGGCAAGAACGACGGCACCTACTACTGAGGCGCACCGCCTTGCTCGATGCGGTCGAGGTGCCGGGGGCGCGAGACGCGTCACGATTTTCCGAGTGGGCCCGTGCACTTCTCGTAGGAATTGCGTGCCGATGTGAGCATGTGGCCTCCCAGCGTGGGAAGTTGGCAGGTGGCCTTGCGGGTCATTTACACTCGTTCTGCTGGATGCGGTTTGCCCTCCTCCTTCTCCTCATGCTCATTCTCCTGCTCATCCGCCAACATTATCCTCAAATGTGCACGGCCCCCCATTCTGATTCGCATTTCCTGGTGATGTCATCCGGGTCATCCAGGTCGGCTGCGGCACCCGTCGGCGTATAGAGAATTATCAGCGCAGTTGGAAGGGATGGGTGGCAGGGACAGGATGCCAGATATGGCTAGGATGTCAGATACGGAGCACCCGCTCACCTAAGTAACTTTTTATTCTCTCCTCTTCCGCTTCCCACCCGCATTCTCGTTCTTTTTCGCTGTGAGAACTCCCTGGAGCTAGTCGGGTCACAACCTAGGCCAGGTCAGCAAAGATGCGGCTTCCAGTATGAAGGTGTGGATGTTCCTGCGGGATGGTATCAATCCAGATCGTGGGTAAGAGCAGGGGTGTACCAGCCATACGAGTTTCACTAGTCGAGGAGTTGGCTAGGCCTGGCTGTTTTCATGATGTCATGTTGGTCACCCTTGCTATCATGCTGTATGCCGTCCCCCTTTCCTTGTTCCACGCCCTCGCTCTTCTCCTATTGACCGTGGTCCCATGCCCCCCCTGTCAGACGCCAAAAACAGTCCGAGAAAGTTACGATTCCGTCACATCCCTCCTCAACCGCTCTCCAGCTCAGTGGATGGCCCGAGGCCTGTGCGAGCTGAGTCTTCAGCACTGGTTGTAGAGAGGGGCATTGAAACGGTGTGATGCCACTCGGGGCTACCCTGCTCGTTGCCTCGCCTCTGCGCGCGGAGCGATGGGGGCGTGAGCAGGACCATCGTGTTGTGTGCGTCGTTGTCCGGGGTGCCGTGGCCGGCGTTTCGGGGCAACGCCCAAGTTCTGGCCAGATCTGCTGCCCTGGAGTGGCCCCAGACCCGCGAGTTCCCCGCCTTCACCTCCTCCCCCTCTGCGTCCCCTCCTTCGCCCCTCTCTTCGGCCAGGTCTGAACCCCCGGAGGGACCCGAAGCCTGGTTTTCACCTCCTTCGCCCTTTCCCCTCCGTCGCCCCTTCCCTCCCCCATGACCTCCCGGGAGGGCCATGCAGAATAGCGCCAGGACGTCGACGTCCAATTTCCAGTCGAGGTCTTATGCAGTCCAGATGGGTCTATAGACGTGGAGTGCTACAGTCAACGCGCCTGGTAAGGACGCGCGCCTTCACTTAGGGTACCCTTTGTGTCTTTGCCAAAGCGGCCCGTCCTGTGCCGTTTTTACTTGTCGTCCGTCTCTGAAAAACTCCTAATTGCGGCCTCCAAGGGTCTTGCGTCCTTGCCACCCGTCCTCGATAAACGTTTTGGCTCTAGGTCTACAGGTCTGGAGTGGGCCTTCGCCCCCCCAACCGCCGCCGATCTACCAATCTCCCACTCTCGCGCACGCCGTGTCATCAGTATAAATGCTTGTATCGTTGCTTAGCACGCGGTGTTCCCATCCATAGTTCTCATCAGTATAAATGCTTGTATCGTTGGCACACTGTTTCTTATTACTGGTGTTGTTGGGTTCACTCCTATGGTTCATCGTGTCTCTTCGTTGCCTTCTTTTTCCAGACGCTTCGCACTGTCCCACGAACCATCCAGAAACTATACCCCGGCGAGTTGCCCGGATCATTGACGTGGAGGAGCATGCAGTGGAATAGAGGTCTGGGGACACATTTGTACCCTAAGAGAGGGAGGATGTAGAAGGAGTCGGAGGATGAGTGAGGAGCAGGAGAGGAGGAGGGTGAGGAGGAGGAGGAGGAGCAGCAGCAGCAGCAACAGCAGCAGGAGGAGCAGGAGGAGCAGGAGGGGGAGGGGGTTGGGGAGGAGGAAGGAGGAAGCAGGCGGATGCGGAGGAGGAGGAGGGAGGACGGAGGAGGAGGAACAGGCGGATGAGGAAGAGGAGGAGCAGGAGGAGCATGAGGAAGAAGAGGAGGAGGAAGAGGAGGAGGAGGAGGGATGGATTTCCAGGATTTCCGCCATCACAAGAGTGATAGATCGGGCTTTGGAATGTCGCCGCGGGAGATTATACTGAGACGCTCGCGGCGTGTCTTCGATATGAGTAGCACGCACGGCTTTGCTACACCCCTGAGTTGGCCTTGGCCGAATAGCCACATGTGCGACTTAATCACAAACGAAGCACTTCGTGAACATACAATGCATGTGAAGGGGTGGGCCCAACCTCCAGCGATTTGTAAACGTCGTGCACGAGGGAACCGAAGCATCTTACCGTCGACTGCCTCTAAAGGCACACAACCACTTCTCAGCCTTCGAGCTAGATAACGCGACACGATCGCCCATCCTCGGCCAGGACATGGGTGGGGTCGCGAGGCGTGCAAGAGTCAGGCTAAGGGGAGCAGGGAGAGGAGGAGGACGAGGTAGAGGGGGCGGAGGGAGGGGGACACTGCTCTGACTGGCCCGACTGGCCTGATCCCTCTTGGCGAGGCCTTCTGCCTGCAGCACCTCCAGGTCCGCTCGCAGCAGCCTGCGCCGAACCAGGTCAGCCGTTCTCTCAATGACATGCACTCGTGTGCGCTCACTGGGCGCGACGCGTGCGCGGCTGGCCGCAAAGCCTGCCAGCTCGTCCACCGCCGCTTTGCCCTGCACAGTTCATGACGGTATCTGCCTCCCGAGCATTTCCCGACCGTCCAGGTGCGACGGCACTTGCAGCACGATGATGCTTTCGAACGGTCCATTCTGTTGGCGGATCGACTGGCCCACGGCCTTCCTCAAGTCGGCGTGCTCGCCAGCAGGCTGCGCGGCGAGCCCAGCCAACCAGCCACGACTGACCTCGTCGCAATCCGTGACGTAGATGACCCATCCCTCAGAGAGTCGGATGCTTAATTCCAGCGCCGTGATCTCGCCTCGCGGGACTGGCTGAGCTGACCCAGACAGCGGGCCCAACACGCGCGGCCCCAGTTGGATCGGGGAGAATGCAATCACAACTGTAACTTCCACACCGACGCGCCGCAGACGAGTGTCGTGCGTGCCCTGCCCGCCCGACGCATCGCTGAAGACAAGCAGCGGGGCGTCCTCGGAGCCACGCCCAAGGCAGCTTGCCTCGAGCTCCCCGACCATGCCTCCTGTCTGCCACTGCTCCACGGCCGTCGGCGGCGTCACTCTCGTCCACGCTGACGGAATACACCCCCGCAGCCAGAAGCAGGGGAACGTTTCGGACTCCGCGATGGCCTCGGGGACGAGGTCGTTGGAGCCTAAGAAAGCCCGATTGCTGCTGTTGCTGCTGCAGAGCCACGTGCGATGCAAGGGCGTCTCAACCTGCAGACCGCACCTGCAGGACAAACCGCTGTCGCACAAGTTTGCTTGGAAACGTCGTTGATTGGCCCATGGCCCGCCCACCGTGATGGCCACCATCAGCTCGGCGAGCTGGCGGCCTCGGTGGACGTGCTGCAGCTCTTCCAGAAACCTCCCCAGGTTGAGAAAGTCGGACCCCTCCTCGAGGCCCCCGCCACAAAAAATGCTCCGCGAGCAGAAAGGCCAGAAGCTGTTCGGATATCTCTCGGGGTCCCTTCGAATGCCTCTTGAGAGGGGTCCTCTTGAGGCGTGTTGGGGGCCTCTTGACGATCTCAGTGGCCTCGTGGAGCGTTTCGGGTGCTTTGGGAGAGCCTCTTGGGGCCTCTTGGGGACCTCCTGGAGCCTTTTTGGGCCTCCTGGGCGCTTCCTGGGCGCCACTTGGGGCCCTCTTGGAGCACTCTTGAGAGCCTTGGGGGCCATGTTTGGGCCAATTCGGAGGATCTCGATCAAAGAAGGGAGGGTCTCAGATTCATTTCCCAGGAGGCCAACAACATGTGGCCCAAACCTGTTATACACAAATGATGGCTGCATTCTCGCCGAGGCCTTCTTGGACGCTCTGACGGGTCGCGACCCCCCCTCGTCCAGGTCCAGGAGGAGGGAGTAGGGGGAGGGGCGAACCCTTCCTCGAAGGGGGCGAAGGGGGGCTAGACGAGGAAGCGCTTTCAACTTCTCACGCCCAGAGGGCTGGTGCTTCATCGAGCGGGGCGCCCCCCCCCCCCCGGCGGGGGAGGGCCTCCTTTTCCTCCTCCTCCTCCTCTTCCTCCTCCTCCTCCTCCTCCTCCTCTTCTTCCTCCTTATCTTCCTCCTCCTCCTCCTCATCCTCCTCCTCCTCATCCTCCTCCTCTTCCTCCTCTTCCTCCTGCTCCCCCCGCTCCTCCTCCTCCTTCCCCCTGGACCCTCCTCCTCAGACAGGGGGTCTGGGGGGCGCCCGCGGCCCGGAGCAGGACGGCAGCAGCGGCGCTGGTGCGCTGCCCTCGCCGCGGCTGCCCAGACCAGCGGGCGAGGGCGAGGACGGTGGCGGCGGCGCGCCGCCGAGAGGGGGTGGGGAGCCGCCAGCGCGGCGCCCCCTCGGGGCCTCCGCCGCGGCCCCCAAGACCTGCAGGCGCGGGCGAGGAGCCCGAGGCGGCCGAGGCCGCGGTGCGCCGGACGGTCGCGTCGCTGCTTGCCGCCTGCCGCCGCGGCTGCGCGGCCGCGGGCGCCGGAGTAGCCGACGTGAGCGAGCCCGCCCGCGGAGGCCCCCGAAAGGTCAGCCTCGGACGGGCGGCCGGACTCGCGTCGGACCCTGGCGTCGGCTGGCCACGCGTGCGCACTGGTTTGTCTCGAAATCCAAACAAGGGGAAACGAGCGAAAGGTAACAGTATGGGTACCTTTGCCTTCTCTGAGAGGGGGCTCCGACCCCTGTGTGTGAATCCCCCTACTTTCCTCCTATCTTGCTCATATCCATCGCCCCTCTTGGCTCGGATGACAGGTACTCGATACTTGGAGGTACGTTGGGTAAAACCATCGTCCCTCATCGTCTACCGACGGACACTCGGGGGTGGGGTCGGTCCATTGGTCCTCCTCACCCTCACTCAGGTTATCAGCCGACTCTTTTATATCCGACATCGCATCCAACCTGCGCCCCGACCTGACGACATCGGACTAGTTATGCGAGATGACGGCACGACACCAGTCGTCCGTCCTCCCGCATGATGAGTCGTCGCCGTCAGTCGCGCGCAACTTGGATGCTGATATGTCCGATATTCTAGGAGCTTCCCCCAATTTTGCGGCCCGCATGGCCATCTCTCCAGGAACCGACGGATTGGACGAAGCTATGCCCCCACCCAGTGCAGCGCAGTCAATGCAGCGGGAAACCGCAGCAATGCCAGCGTTGCCCACCCAGGCGGCACTTCAGCTCCACGCTATGCAAGCTGAGTTGCAACAGCTTCGTGCCTTGCATGCTCATAGCGTTTCCGCACCCCCACTTCCTATTGGAGATCAGACCCCCCTACAGCAGCGATTCTTACACGCCGCTCCAGGGCTCACGCCTCAATTCCCCACCCTTCATACCACATCTGACGTCCCTCCCGCAGCACTGCACCAGTCAGCGCGGCGGGAAACCGCTGCCCCGCCACAAACAGCGCAGCGGGCCACCGCAGCACCGTCCCAGACAGTGCAGCGGGATACCGCAGCTCCACACATGCCTACACCTTCCTCCCCTCCGAGAGAGAGAGGCACAGGCACACGAAGGTGGGGCCATGGGACGCCCGAACAAACAGGGATTGAACAGGGTCAGGTTTATGAGCGAGTCCGTGAATTCGAAAACCGTACTTCTGACCATGGCCCTAGTCGCCGTGCTCATTCTAAGAACCAAGCTCCCAGGCGTGGCCCCGAACAGTACATTATTCGAGACGATCGCGGCAGTAGGAGTCCATCTGTCCGGGGGGTTCGTATTAGGCCCCATAGTTCCCCAGCCGCAAACCGACATAGGGAGGCTCTGCCAATGCAAGACATGGCTGAGCTACGAGATCACGTGCACACATACGTTGAGTATCAAACTAGCCTCGTCCACAAGGCTGTGGCCTCTGATACCGCCGTCCTCCGGAGTGACCTCCAACAGGGTCTTTCGATCCTGGACGCTGCCGTCCAAGAGGACCGTCGGATCATGCAACAGCTGATGCAGCGTCTCGATACACAACGAGATCGCGAGACTAACGAACTTGTGGCCGTCAAGTCCGACTTCGATCGACTTGAAGCTAGCGTCATTCAGATTCGTCAACACAACGATGAACGTGCACGCATTCTTCGCGAAGAGCTGCGAGAGGTCGCGGGCGCAGCTTCAGGCGCCTTCGGAGCGCCTTCCACCGCAATACAAGGTCATATTGCCACGATTCGTGGTGAAACGGAAGCTGCAGCACGTGAGCTGCACGATTATACACGCTCCGTTCAGCAAGATTTGTATGGCAAGTTATGTGAGGCCGAGAACGCTTTCCAAGCTCAACTCTCTTCCTGTCAGGTTCAACATGTACCACAGCTTCTATCCAGAGTCCACACTCTCGAGCAGACCGTAGCTGAGCTGCAGGTCGCACGGGCTCATACTGCGCAGGTGAGTCCCACTGCTACGGTGACCAACCCCGACGTGACGGCAGCTGTTCTACAGACCGTCCGAGCGGAGGTGGCCCACTTGCAAAGGCAGCTGCAGGATTCTGTGGCCGAGAGGGATGCCGAGTCAGCACGCGCGAATGCGCGCCTGGATCAAATGAACGCTGAGATGGCTCGTCTTGCTAACGAGAATGTTGACCTGCGTACTCTAATTGTCAATCTTACTACCCACAATAAGGATGACGTTCGATTCCTCACAGACACTCAGAAACATCAACACGCTGAATGGGAAATATTGTCTGATTGTGTCGCAAAACTGCAAGCAGACAACACCACGCTTGAGCAAACAATACAAGATCACATCGCGGACGCAGCCAAACATACACCTGATACCGGCTATCGCCGCCCCTCCCCTGCCGCCGCTGTTCGCGATGCGGGGGGTTCTACTGGGGCCGCTTCCAAGCCGACACTTCCTCAGGCAGGAACTGGTGCTGACGAGCAGCGGGGAACCGCAGCCCAGCCTTCTGCCCCTGAGACAGCTGCAGACAATGCTAGCTTTCGAACACATTCTCCCATTAATATAGGCACACTCGGCTCCAACGTTGCGCAATCCCCGTATAATGCTGGCGGATCACTACTTCCTGCCACAGTCAAAGAAAGTGACCGTGTTCGGGTCCCAGGCTTCCCTAAAATCACAGGAGTCGCCGATTGGATGAACGGAGTCCGCAAGGGTTTCAGAAACGCCTCTGGACGCCCAGCTCAGGCGTACGCCTTCATCATGGTAGCGGAGAACCCTGAGATGACTTTTGAGGATCTCGCCGACAGCGGCGACTTCGAGAGCCTCGACTGTAAGTTAGCTGACGCTCTTCTCGAGATCCTCCCACACGAGTTAAGATTGCAAATGAAGCTGTTAGAGGACGTTGAACACAAGGCCAAGCGCATGCTTAAAGGACGTCAGGTATATCAGAAGATTATCCGTTCATTTGACGTCACCGTTGCCGAGGATCACCTTCACGACTTTGATCGCATTAAGAACCTACGCATGCACGGAGACGATCTCCAACGTTTCATCGTCGAATGGGATCGATTACTATTGGCTCTTAACAAACTACCCGAGATGTACATCATGGAATCCCTCTTTCGTACTCAGGTTCAGAGACATCCTTGGATGAAAGATGACATGAGCAAATACAACAAATCCAGGGCTGGAGCCAAAGATGAGAACGGAGAGGAAATCAAGACATACAATTGGCTCCATCAAAGAGTTTACGACGTTCTTGATTTACACAAGCTACAGAAAAATCAATACAGCATGCAAAAAGAATCGCGGGACACCGTTGCCCCTGCCAAGACTAAGACCAAACAATCAAGCCGCAACTCACATTGCGTCCCTTTCTTCAAGGGCAAAGGGTGTCCCCGTCCTGATACATGTAAGTTTTTGCACACTGCTGAAAAGAAACCGCCGCCCAGACGCCACCCGTCGTCTCGCGATCCTCCCAGGAATCGCCAATCATCTCAACATCGTAGAGACGCTCGAGGCAGCGCCTCTGGCGCGGCTACTTCGAGGCCTCCGGCTGCCAGGTATTTTTGCTACGATTTCGCAAAGGGTAATATGTGTCAGCGCACTGGTTGCAACCGGCACCACGTGCATCCTTGCGTCTTCTATCAGAAGGGCAATTGCACCAACGGGGATAGCTGCAAATTTGCCCACTATAAAAATGGCTTCAAGACGCCGCCTCGCAGCCCCAGCAGGCCCAGAAGCGAACAGAGGTTCCCCTCCCGAAGCCCAGGTGGTAGACGCTGGTCGCAGAGATCACGATCTTTCACCAGGAGTCCGGGGGGCAGGGCTTACTCCAGGAGTCCGGGGGGCAACCGTCGTTTCTCAACGAACACTCGACAGCCCTCCAAGAGCCCAGGCGGCACTCGCTGGTCCCAGAAGGACTCGCGATCGCCGTCTCGTTCGTCTCAGCGGCAAGGCCGATCACGTAGTCCAGGCGGTACAAGATGGTCTCAGAGAGATTCACGATCTGGCTCCCGTTCCAGTCGGACATCGCAGTCCAGTCAACGACAGCGCTCTCCCGCTCGGAACACCAACCGAGTGTACGTGATACGCGAGAAGATCCTCGCAGTTTCACCTACACATGGTATCTCAAAGGCCCAGATTCTCAAGACCAAACCGCCTGCGACGACATCGACACCAAAACTAAAGGTTCGCTGGAACCTTGCTGCTACCGATATCGATTTCTTCACGGTTCGACGTAAGATGAGACCGTATCGGGAGTCACCAAACAAAGGCGGTGCTGTCCACGTTCCAGATCCAATTCCCGATTGGTGGTGGATCCGTTCTCAGGCTCATCTGACACGCGCCCAGGAGAATGCATTCGCCCTCATACGGAGGCTGGACGACGACGAGGACATCCACTTCGATTATTGCTACGTCGCAATTCCACAGGAGGACGTGCTGCTCCACACATATGCCACGGCGCAGCAGGCAACTGCAGCACCAGAGCAGCAGGAAACTGCAGCTTCGTCGCGGCAGGAAACTGCAGCCAGCGCCCCTCCAACAAAGGACACGGTAGCAATATCGCGTTCTTTCGTCCTTGATAGCGGTTCGGCACTACACATTTCAGATAAAGCCGACATGACAGAATCCGAGAAAAAGGGCATTCGCATTGGACGAGAACACATTTTGGAAACCGCCAATGGCGAGAGAATCGTCAACCAACATGTACGTGTCAAAATCCCAGCACTCGGCATCGAGAAAGACACCCTGGTCATGGATAATTGCCCGTCCGTTTGGTCCATGGGTCGTCTTGTCGAGGAAGATGATTGGGATATACATTGGAACAGAAGAATTGGATGCGTACTAACACCCCCACATGGCCAGCCTAAACAGGCTGTGGTACATAACTTTATTCCACAGATCAATATCGACCACATGCATGATGCTCCGCCACCTCCGCCGACCCCCTCGTATTCCGCGAGACGACACACGAAGGAATGCCCACGCCGACGCGTCAGGACATCATGCTGCGGAGTGATCCTGCCACAGTGGAAAAGCATGTCTCACAGGGACTGTGGTCGTGGTCGCTTTCAGACCTTTCCCATCGACCCCGCAGAGGAGAC